CAGTATTTGTTGCTCTTTGGGGGAGAATATTCTTCTGGAACTCAGATCATTCTTATGTCTCAGGCAGCAGGCCTCTGGCTGCCTGAGGTTGGGGCCAGACATCCCAGTGTTTCAGTCACTGTCCCGGGTGCCATCGGCATTGTTGTGTGGTAGAGAGAGCCCTTGTCCATTCCCCAGCACAGAAGGCTTTGACCACTGGGTTAAATCAATTACCTTGCCAATATCAAATGCATGGCAGCTGTGTTAAGGGATGATGCTCCATCGGTCCCATGGATTGCAGGGAGATCCAACTAAAACCAACTAAAAATTGAATTTTTAATCTTCAATTTGTCTTCAGATTTTCCCCACACTTGAGGGTACTTCAAAAGGTTCATGGGAAATGGATTAGAAGTTTATTTTGGTGTCAAAAAATGTTGAAATCCATGTATAAAAGGAGTCTTAATAAAAGCTCCAGGGAAATGCATATTAATGCATATTAAACGCTATGCATAAATCTCAACACTTTTTTTAAAATGAAATTCCAGAAGGCTCCTATCCTCCAGGTCACTCCCCCAATGCCTGCTAGAGCTGAAGAGCTAAAGCTGCCAACCAAGAAGGCAGTCCAGGTCTCCCACAAAGGGGGCGGAGAGGCGGGGGACAGGAACCAACCACCTGACCTTGGCAGCAGAGGAGGGAGGGAGAGGAGTCCCACTGCCTGGGGCAAAAGCATTTTAATTATCATTGAGAGCCCAACAGAGCCATAAAACCAGCCAGCTGTTCCATTCTATCAGGCCAGAGGCAGTCAGAGATGGTGACAGAGAGGATGCAGCATTTTTCAAGGTGCTGAGTGCTTTAAGCTACTGCTGGGTGGAGGGACAGAGACCGAGTGGGGTAGGCAGGCAGGCTGGTAAGCAGGCAGGCTGGTAAGCAGGCAGGCTGGCCTTTTCCACGGGAGCCACTGCACAGCTATGAGGAGCTGGTGGGAATTGGCACCAGTCAGTGGTTCCAGTGACAGGGTGGAACTGTGACTGGCTGACTTAGGAAATGGCTGCTCAGGGTGGCATGTTAAGCACATCTACCTGTGTACTATGTGCACCTCAGATATCAAGGGATGGAAAGCAGTGCCTCCCCCACCTGGGAAAGAAAGGAAAAGAGCCGACTGAACAGGATGCCCCAGAGACACTTGGGGTGCGACTTTCCGAGGTTTTTCAGTATTGTCCCATGGACGGGTAAGATTCCTTCAGCTCCAAGAGGCCCAGCACGTGCCCAAGGTCAGCTGAAGCCTGATTCAAGGGTTTCCCAAACCCACCCTCCAATGGGAAGGGCTTTCTTCTCAGGTTACAAAACCCTGGGGGGCAGAAGGAGGATGAGGAATAGCTAATTTCTAGGTCTCACTCTCACAGGGCAGGGCACTGTGACTGTTGGGGTGAGCTGGGACGCAGAGGCACAACCACCCCATCTGAAGCAGCTCAGCGGCTTAGAGAAGCAGGCAGGAAGCACCTGTAAGTCATTGCAACCACAAGGCTCTGAGACGCCCAGCCCTGTGCCCAGCTCTAAGGATGGAGCAGCAGTGGAATGAGTCGCCCTTGGCCTGGTGAAGCCTGGTCAGGGATCATGTGACTGCAGCATCTTCTCTCAGCAAGGCCATCTGTCACAGCCCGAGCGGCAATGGGAGGTTAGGAAGGAGCACCTGTGGGCTCCTGTCAGCTGTCCGCTCCAATCACCCCTCGGCAGAATCCAATTCAGGGGGAAGGGGATGTTCAGCCCTGCCACGTGGAAGCCGGCAAGGGAGCAACCTGGGCACATCTTAGACGGATACCAGGTGCAAACAAACCTACTTAAAGATCACAAAAGGACGACAGCTTTGTCTCTTGGGTAACAAAAGGCCATTCAGACCTCCTGCTATCTCCTGCAAACAGCAGCACTGTGGCAAAGCAGTCTGGATTTCACTGGGTAAGGACATGGCCTACAACACTGGCATATGTATACCAATTTGTATCCTAGCTGCTCGCATTCCGATCCAGTCCCCTGTTCATGGCCTGGGGAAAGCAGATGACCCAAGGGCTTGGGCCTCTGCCACCCCGCAGGAGATCTGGAAGAAGCTCCAGGCTTCAGTGTGGCTCGGCCCCGGCAGCTGCTCATCTGGGGAATGAAGCAGAGATGGAGGGGCTCTCCTGTGCCTCTGACTTCCTATAAATATTCAAAAAATTAAGGCTAGATTCCCGCACACAAATCCCCTGAAAGATAAAACCTTGCATGTACAATTAGAAATTATGCTGAATTTTGAAACTTCATCAAGGAAATAGAAACCTTCAAATGCTATTATCCTAAGCCTGTTTTTTAAATTATTTTCTATTATTTTCCATGATACATTTTTTTTAAATTGGAAAGTCAGATTTACAGAGAGACGGAGAATAAAAGAGAAAGGTCTCCCATGGCTGCAACAGCCAGAGCTGAGCTGATCCAAAGCCAGGAGCCAGGAGCCTGCTCCCATGTGGGTGCAGGGTCCCAAAGCTTTGGGATATCCTTGCCTGCTTTCCCATGCCACAAGCAGGGAACTGGATGGGAAGTAGGGCAGCCAGGACACAAACCAGCACCCATACGGGATCCCAGATCATGCAAGACAAAAGCTTTAGACACTAGGCTACCATGCTGGGCCCCTAAGCCTGTTTTTGAAAACGAGACTGATTATGTAGCATAACTTCATTTTACCTCATTTTCCTATGATAAGGACATGAAAAAAAAGAGGAAGAAAACTCAGTTTCAATATCACATGTTAAACCAACACATCTGTTGCTTTTTACTGCCTCACCCGAAGCCATTTGTAGGTATAAGTTACTCGGAAAAGTAGCCACCAAGAGTTCTAAACTATTCAAAGAACTAGACTTTGGAGGAAATGAGCACCAGCAGATGGGCAGAGATAAGGGCTAAGGAAAAAGAGAAGGCACTGCAGTCATGTCATCTGAATCCTTCACAGGCATCACACCTCAAAAAGGTCTCCAATATTCCATGTGCTTGCAGAAAGGAAGTCTTCCGCTGGAAAGGGGGAGGAATCCATGGATAGGAAGAGACTCAGGTAACAAACACTACTGTGAGGTCATGTGGAAAGTAGACTTTTGGCACGGTGAGTAAGCCGATTGCATCTCACGTGGGCGTGCCTGGGTTCCAGGCTCAGCTCTGCTTCCACTCCAGTTTCCTGTAATTAACGTAAAACCCTGGGAGGCAGTAGTGATCTATTTTCCATCTGCTGGATAACTCCTCAAATGGCCACAACAGCCAGAATAGGCCAATCCAAAGCCCGGAGCTTGGAGTTGCTTCTGAGTCTCCCACATGAGTGTAGGGACCCAAAGGCTTGGGCCATCTGCTGCCGCTTTCCCAGGCACATTAGCAGGGAGCTGGATCGGAGGTGGAGTAGCCGAGACTCAAACCAGCACCCACTTAGGATGCCAGTGCTGATGTCACGGCACCTGCCCCAGACTGGAGTACCTGATTCCCTGCCACCCACACGGCAGGCCTGGACTGAGTTCCTGGTTCCTGATTTGGCCTTGGCCACACTGGCTGCTGAGGACATCTGAGGAAGTGAACCCCTGGATGGTTACCTGCCTGTTTCTATCTCTCTGCCTTTCCAACAAAAATGAACAAATAGACTTGTTCAACGACCAGGGAGACATGCTAAATGTAACAGTGAGGTGAACGTTCTTGTCTTTTTATTTGCGCTTTCTAGTTGTTATACAACAAGCACTTCCCATTTACAGAATTTTTTGTAAAGTATTTTAAAAAGTAAACACACTCAGTACTTACCAACCAACAGAGAAGCTACAAATGTGACAAAGTAAAATGTGAAGGATTTCTGGCTGCAAGTGGAAAGATGCAGAGGAAGTTAAAGTTCCTGGGACCTGTGCTGCCCCCCCCTCTCGGGGCTGGGCCACTCCACGTGCTGTCAGGGAGCCGCGAGGCTCTCTCCTGCTCAGCAGAGGAGGTGAGAACCAGCAGGAATCTCCGGGCCACAGCAGCCCAGGCCCAGCTCCTGCAGATTCAGCCAAGGGGAAGGCAGAAACTTCCAGCAGCTTACCACCTAATTACATCTGCCCCTGAGTCACAATCCAGGTTAAGGATTCTGCGTGTTTCATCCACCTTTACTCCTCGGCTCCCTGCTATTAACCACGAGGAGGTTGTGGCAAAGAGTAGCAGCCCTGGGCGAGGAGGAGGAGCGTCACACCACTGGCCAGGCTGCGCTCTCCAGACGGACACAGAACTCACCTTCCCTTCCCGCAGTCCCTTCTCTGTGGACACCTCAGGTTGTAGTGTTTAGGTCAATCCTAACAGAGCGGACGGGTTCATTCTGCCTACTTGCCCCATAAAGAGGAAGATGTGCCTCATGACGGCATACAGACTTCCCTCATGGGGAGAAACAAATCCCCAGGTTTACACAGCACGTCACAGTCCATCTCGCCCACCGAAAGGGACGTAGAATTGTCCCGGCCCCCTCAGGGGCCTCATTCTTCCCCTCCAAAACCTCTTTTTCTTGGTTCTCATCTCATTCCTACATCTCAAGGATGGAATGCTTTCTCTAGGTGCTTCTGTCTTTTTTTTTTTTTTTTTAATGCTTTGCTTTATTTGAGAGGCAGAGAAGAGACTATGGGGGCGGGGGGCTAGCTCTCCATCACTCCTCAAATGCCGCTAATGCCTGGAGCCGGGCAGGGCTGAGGCTGGGAACTCAGCCCAGGTCTATCTCATGTGGGCGACAGGAACTGAAACACACAAGCCACCCTGCTGCTTCCAGGGTCTGTGTGAGCACAAGCCAGACACAGGAGGCGGGGCAGGTATCAAACCCAGACACACGGCAGACACACGGGTGGCAGGAATCTTACTTGACAATGCGGCCACTAGGCCAAGCGCCCGCCTGGATGATGAAGCAAAGGGCTTATTGTCCCTAAGTTCTACTGGGAATCCACTCCTACTAAAGCTGCAGGCTGTCTGCAGGTGCCCTTACCCTCCCAGCCCCACTTCATCATACTCACTGTTGCTGGACTTAAGGTCTCGGTGGATGATGGGGACGATGGCCTCGTCGTGTAAGTAGTTCATTCCTCTGGCGATCTGCACAGCCCAGTTCACCAGGATGTCCGGGGGAATCCTCTTCCCAGACAACACCCTATTCAGAGGCCCTCCACGGGCAAACTCCATCACCAGGCAGAGGTTGGGTTCCTTCAGACACACCCCCCTGAGGGCGATGATGTTGGGGTGCTTCAGCATGGCGAAGAGCTTGGCCTCCTGACGGACGTTCTCTATGGTCTGGCTGATGTCCTCATCGGGGTCGTGGCGAGCAGCCTTCACGGCCACCTCATCCCCGATCCAGAAGGCACGGTAGACCTTTCCGAAGCCCCCAATGCCAATGATCTCTTCCAGAGTCAGCTCCGCAAAGTCAATCTCTAACACTGGGGAGAGCAGACGGAAGCAGCTGGTCAGTGACAGCCTGAAAACACCATGCAAGCATCCATCAGCCGCCCTTCTCCAGCATCCCACTGGAAGATGAAACTCATCAGGGCGGGAACTGCAATTAACCTGCTTTTCTTCTGCAGGATCATGAGGGACTAGCACATAGTAGGCACTTAATAACAGGTGCCAGGTCCTGTCCTGGCAACTCTGCTTCCGATCTAGCTCCTTACTGATGTGCTTGGGAAAGCAGTCGAGGATGCTCAAGAGCTTCGGTACCTGCACCCATTTGGGAGCCTAGGATGGAGTTCCTGGCTCCTGGCTTCAGGCTGGCCCAGCCTGAAGCCATTGCTGTCATTTGATAAGCAAAAAAGAAGATGGAAGTTTTCTCCTCTCGTCCTAACTCTGCCTTTCAAATAAATAAATAAATCCCACCTGGCAAGTCAGGCAGGATCCTGCAGCGAGGTCAAGCACTTTAACCCAAACAACACTGGGAAAGCTCTTCCGCAGCCTCACTCAGCTTTACTGTGCATCTGCTGCTGAGCAGCATACACCCCAAGGAGAAAGGCAAGACCCACAACGCAGCGGGTCGATGGGGGTAGGGGATGACCAGAGGCTTGGAAAAATCACAAACTACACACAGGACAGGGGGTGAAGAGAAGGACCAGGAAAAGGATCCTCAGGCAAGGGATCATCTGAAAGGGCACGGAACACGGAGTGGGAGGGGTCCAAGGGTCACACTGAGACCCGGAGGAGACCAGTGTGTATAATAACAAGACAAAGAACACGGGAACGAGAATGCATGGCCTTCGGGCACTTGCGGAGGTCTGCTGTGGCCAGTTTATATCCAAGAGGATAATGAAGCTTTTCTTGGAGCAGCCGAGGTAAAATGTTTTTAAAGCCATTGTGAAGGACTTAAACTTCACACTGCAAATAACAGAAGTATCTTTCAGAAGGGGAACGCTGTTAAATCAACAATTTAGAAGGACTGACAGTAGAAGCCCTGCCCTGGACAAGAACTTTAAAAACCTAAGTTTGAAATCCAAGTTTTTTCACAATATACATTTTTTCATAGATGTTTTGAAAATGCTTTGTATGCATGGATTTGGTTTCAACTTTTTTCCACCAAAATAACTACTTCATTCCTTTTGCCATGAGCTTTTGCAAGCACCCTCACAGAGCATAATCTAGAAGATGGAGAGCCTTCAGCAGAAGGCACCACACAGGAGGTCACAGCAGGAGCCCAGGCAGGCTGCTCTGCAGCAGCAGCGAACACTAGAGGTGCCAAGTCGGCCCAGGAGACATCAGGACCTGACGACTGAGACCCACGGAGCCTCATGACAAACATCTGGGCCCAGTTCAATCCCCCAAGTTCGCAGTGCCTCAACAAACCCACCGAGTGCCCAAGGCCCCAGATCCTATCTGTAAAAAGTCTGCTTGGAGGGTCCGGTGCGGTGGTCTTGCAAATAAAGTCCTCACCTTGAACATGCCAGGATCCCATACGGGCACCAGTTCTAATCCCGGCAGCTCCACTTCCCATCCAGCTCCCTGCTTGTGGCCTGGGAAAGCAGTAGAGGACAACCCAAAGCTTTGGAACCCACACCCGCGTGGGAGACCTGGAAGAAGCTCCTGGCTCCTGGCTTCTGATCAGGATCAGGCACCCAAGTCTCACATCAGGGTACCCAGGTTCTAGCCACGGCTCTGCTCTCCCTTCCAGCTTCTTGGAGAAGCAGCAGGTGAAGGCTCAAGCATGTGTCCTCCAACACCTACATGCAAAACCTTCAGTTTGCAGCTCCTGGCTTTGACTGACCCAGTCTCAATTATTACGGTCATTTGGGGAATAGTAAACAGATAAATGGATAGGCAGATATCACACGCTCTCTCAAAATATTTAAAAATAAGTTAAAAAAAAGAAATAAAAATTCTCTTTGGTCATGAAGGGAAGGAACACATTTTTCTTCTCTCCCAGCTTTGACACAAATGAAAACACCTGTCTCTATTTCACAAATTTGTATTGTTATGTCCGCAGTCTAAGAACGTGAATGCTCCTTAAGAGAACCATGTGCTGTGTTTTCTCTTGTACGTTCCTTTCTGCTCTGGACTGCAACATCGCTGTGGACACACAGCAGGGATTAAGCATGGAAATACAGGAACCTTAAAAAGACAAGCATCCAAACCAGAGTGCTGAAAGAACAGCTCCTCGGACTGCATTTCACAGAAGGAAGAAAATCCCCATGGAAGGCCACGGATCTGGAGCTCATGATTTAGTTAAGGAAATATCAGGACAAGCCTTCAAGTGCAAAACACAGACCACAGCTGCCTAATGAAAACCAGGCAGGCCCCGATGGTGGAGGAAGGGACTCCGTCCCCAGCTCCCCGCTAAGGAAAGAACTACATCTTCGGTTGCAGAGGGCACTTGGGTCTCTCCTTCCCATTCCGGCTCCAGACCAGACCTGGTTTTAAGTAAGAATCAGGTCAGGTTGCATTTAGCAATTTTTTTTTCAGTGTCTGCAGCAGCATATTTCCAGGAATATCAGGAACAAAACCTTCTTTCTTTCCTTTTTAGAGCCAAGACATAATTCCTTCTCAACCGTATGCTTCAAAATAATGTACAGACACACTCTGATGGGCTTTGGGCAAGACACATCCAAAAATGTTAGATACATCTGAAAATACATCCTTAGCATGTATCGAATAAGAAGTACAAATTAATAACCTTACTCTATGACTTGTTTGGAAATGGGCACAATTCTCTTGTTAGAGAAACGTTTTGTCATAACAGAAATATCTTCCAAGACAACACATTTGTAACCGACCGTTTTTCCTCTTTGTGTTCCTGACTATCTGTTATTTACGAAGACCCAAACTCCAGTTATCCACACAGGAGAGAAGCACCATCTCCAGGTAAGATGGCTTAGAGCATCCCGTCAAGTTCCTTCTTGGAGCCAAGATTCACATCCGCTCTTTCTGTTTCGGATAAAGTTTAAAACAGCACTGTCACCTGAGAAAGCAACCCTCTAACACCTACAACTGACCGCGACTGCTGGGTTCAGTCCCTCCCACTTACAATTCAGAATGTAATGTTACAAGACACGCCCCGGGGAGAAGTTTAAGGAGAACCCAGGGGACACACCTCAGATGCTCAGTTCTAATGAATATCTGTAGACAAACGTGTCCATCACCTTTATTTTCTGCCTGACATTAACTGAAGTAGACAGGATGTACAAATTGGACACACACCTGTCAGCAGCTGCCCACCTGCCCACCTGCCCTAAAGTGCTTCAATGAAATCGAGTATTGACACAGCTCACATCCCTCACAAGGCCCAGAGCCATAGCCTGGCGGCTAAAAGTTCTCACCTTGCATCCACTGGATCACATATGGGCACCAGTTCTAATCCTGGCTACTCCACTTCCCATCCAGCTCCCTGCTTATGTCCTGGGAAAGCAATAGAGAATGTCCCAAAGTTGGGACCCTGCACCCACAAGGGAAACCCAGAAGAGACTCCTGGCTTTGGATCGATTCAACCCCAGCTGCTGCAGCTACGTGGGGAGCGAACCAATGGATAAAGGATCTTTCTGTCTCTCCTTCTTTCTATACATCTGACTTTCCAATAAAAATATATCTTTTAAAAAACAGAGAGATTGTGCTCATGAATGTCACAGAACTCTACATAACTTCCCCACTCTGACAGTAGCTGTCTTGAAAAAAAACATTTGGCTCAACCCCGGCCACTGCAGATGTGTGGGGGGACAATGGGTGGGGATTGTGGCACAGTGGTTAAACCACTGCTTCTGATGCTCCCAACCCACAGGAGAGTGTCTGGGTTTGAATCCCAGCTCCACTTCCTATCTAGTTTCCTGCTAATACACACCCTGAGACATAGCAGATGGTGACTAAGTGCTCGGGACCCCGCCACCCTTGCCTTGCACACACCAACATCCCACATGGGCACTGGTTCACGTCTTGGCTGCTCCCTGCTTGTGGCCTGGAAACACAGCCAAGGGTGGCCCAAAGTCTTGGGACTCTGCATCCACGTGGGAGACCTGGAAGAAGCTCTTAGCTCCTGGCTTTGGATTGGCTCAACCTTGGCCACTGCAGGGAGTGAACCAGCTGACAGAAGACCTTTCTGTTTCTCCTTCTCTCTGCAAATCTGTGTTTCAATTAAAATAAATAAAATTTTTAAAAAGAAACTAAATGTTTAAAGCTGGTCCTCAGTAACTCTTTTTTTCCAGAATCAACTAAGACACAAAGTACACAAAAATAAGGAACATTAATAACTGCCAAGGCCCAGCGCAGTGGCCTAGCAGCTAAAGTCCTCGCCTTGAATGAGCCAGGATCACATATGGTCACCGGTTCTAATCCCAGCAGCTCCACTTCCCATCCAGCTCCCTGCTTGTGGCCTGGGAAAGCAGTCAAGGACAGCCCAAAGCTTTGGGACCCTGCACCTGTGTGAGAGACCTGGAGGAAGTTCCTGGCTCCTGGCTTCAGATTGGTGCAGCTCTGGCCATTGTGGCCACTTGGAGAGCGAATCATCGGATGGAAGATCTTCCTCTCTGTACATCTGACTTTGCAATAAAAATAAATAAATCCTTAAAAATAAAATAACTGTCTATTAACAAGAACACTTCTAATAGGGCAGAAATGACAGTCCATCTCAAATCTCAAACAGTGCGAGCTGCACTATCAGACGCTTCTGCTTCACTTCTAAAACGACCCGCCAGGATTGCTTACCGGGTTCCTGGGACTACTTCACTCCTGGGAAATAAACAAAGAAAATATCCTGACAGGCTGTGGAACAGGGGCTCCCAGGAAACTGACGAAAACCAGGACACTGGGAGAAAGGCCCCGCGAGGGACCCAGGGCATGGTCTCCCTGGGATCTGGCCAGTGCCAAATATAGGCAAGGATCTAGGGTGAAGAGAAGGTGCTGATGGTTCGTGTGTACAGCCCAGCTGTCTCAGGGAACCCCGACAGGGGGCGGGGAGGGGCGGGGGGACACCTGCTCCGGCTTGCAGGGGTGGGGGGGAGTGGGGGAGACACCTTTCCCTCCTCCATCTCCTCTGACCCAGCTCTCCCTTTCTGCCCGGACTTGGTGAGACTCCTAAAGACACAACTTCGAAGTCTCAGAGCTGGAGCAACCACAACGTCAACAGGGGATTTATTTCAAAGGCACATCGGCCTAGCCTCCACTAAGTCTTCCGGGACTCCAGAGCCAGCCCAGCTCTGCTGGAGACACCCCCACCTCTTTCCAGGCAAATGCCTGGAAGGGACCAGGACAAGCGACAGAATTAGCTCCCCGGGCTGGCTGGGCGCGCGGGTCAGAACAGCGCCCACCTGGAACCCTTCCAGACACCCGGGACGCGGAGCAGGATGGGGAACCCGCGGAGCCGCCGAGGTAGTTCCAGGCAGGCCCTCGGGCTCGCTCCGGCCGCTGCAGCCCGAGCGCACGCACGCATGCCCACACCGGGCGGCCACCACCCCTGACCCGCCCGGCTCAGGTCCCGCCTTCTCCTTACACTGAATAGGCGGATAACAACCGGGGTCCTCGCCGCCGGGCTGGCAGCGGCTGGAGAAGGCGCTGCGCGGGGTCACGTAGTTGCTGGGAAAGATGCCCACCCGCTGGTTCAGCTGCCCGGTCCACCAGCCCTCGTCGCCGGACACCTGCGAGTCCTTGGAGAGCACCTCCACCACGTCGCCCAGCCGCAGGGTCAGCTCGTCCTCGCCCGCCGCCTCGTACTCGAACACTGCCGTCCAGTAAGGCAGCGGAGGGTCCGAACCCAGCTCCCCGGGGGCCGCCGCCACCACCGCCGCCGCTTCCTCCTCCTCTTCTTCCTCCTCCTCGGCCCCCGCGCCGTCCTCTCCCGGCGGGGCGGCAGCGGCGGCGCTCGCCAGGCAGCCGAGAAGCGCTCTGGAGGGCTCCATGGAGCGGCCGATCCATAGGGTGCGGGGCTGCCGCCGCCCGCAGGAGCCGCCGCCGCCTATTGTTCATGCGGCTCCGCAGAGGGACCCCCCTCCCCCGACGACGACGGCCGCAGGTAGGGCCCGGGTTGGCGGGGTGGGGGGGAGCGCAGGACCGGCGCTCCGGAGGGGCTGGCGCGGCCGAAGGACAAGCGCGCGCGGGGCGCGAACGCTCACCGCCTTCTTCGGGGTGCGGCGGGCCCGCGTCCCCGCCTGCCCAGCTCGCCCCCGGCGGGCGGCGTGGCCACCTCCTCCGCGGGTACCTGCAGGTGCAGCCAGCGTCCGCCGCCAGCCAGGAAGCCAGGCAGCCAGGCAGCCAGCCGGCCGCCGCTCCCCTCTGCGCCCCGCGCCCCGCCTCCCGCACCGCCCCGCACGCCCGGGACCACCTGACGCGCGCCTGGCTCCGCCCCAGCCCTGCGGGACCCGGGGGAGGTGTGGCTTCCAGGGCGCCCCGACCCGCCCGCCCCGCGCGCCAGCCGCCTTCCCATTGGCCACCGCCGCCCGGTGCGCAGGTTCCCCTGGCCGTGGTTGGGGCAGCCGCGCTGGGCGCCCTGCAGGTCCCTGCGCCTTCGGGCCCACCCCGCCCCCTTTGCGGGCTCTCTCATTCTCAAACCCCAGGTCGGCCCCCTCGCTCTCTCCATTGGTCCACGGCACCTGTCCGTTTACGCACCGAGCGAGTTCTGTTCCTCCGGGTGGGAGGAGACTCGGGCCTCATTGGGTGCGGGAGAAGGCGCGGGTGGATCCCCAAAGGTAAGGCCGAGGCTTCGTTCGGTCTGGAAAAAAACCTGGCGGAAGGGCCGCTGCCTTTGTTTTCCTCAGCTGGTTTGGGGCTCCACCGGGCAGCACCGAGGGTCCTTAAAGCGGAGGAGAGGTGAATGGAGTTGCGCTCTTTTCCTGTCCAGCTCCCCCCACCCCGGCCGTCCTTCTTGGATCTGCCGCTGCGAGGGTCCAACCCGATGGGTCAGCTTCCCCCTCCGCCGCCCGCCCACCCGGCACAGCTCCCACCTCGGAGTCTTTCTGCGCCCGGTGGAACCTGTTAGGCCCGCTGGAAGGCTCATTCAGAAGAACGCAGTTCTTGCCTTTATGCGTGCCTGCCGGAAGGCGGTTCGACCCCTTATCCTGTGCTTGCCATTTATTCAGGCGTTAGGAAAGAGGGAGGTGGGCAGGCCTGGCGTTTACCCTGTGCTGTTAAAGATGTAATCATTTGTGTGAAAGGCAGAGTTAGTGAGGACACCGAGAGCTCTTCATCCGTTGGTTCACTCCGCAAATGGCCACAATGGCCAGGACTGAGTCAGACCTAAGCCAGGAGCTCAGAGCTTCATACAGCTCGTGGGTGCAGAGGCTCCAGCCCTTGGGCCGTCCTCCGCTGCTTTCCCAGGTGCATTAGCAGGGAGCTGGATTGGAAGTGGAGCAGCCGGGACTTGAACCAATGCCCTCATGGGATGCCCTTGTGACGGGCAGTGGCAATCACCCTCTTTCCTCTGTTGCAGCGGTGCAGGGGGTTCTTTGCAATTTCCAAGCCGGACCTCCCCTGCCTCGAGTTACCTAAGCGCGGTAATGGAGTCTGCCCATCCTGAGGGTGAAGGTGGTGGCTGGAAAGGCTCCTGTGTTCAGGTGGGCCACACATCCCAGGTTTGCACGGCCCAGCCCAGCATCACACACATACATGAGCGCAGAAAGAACAGTCAGGGTGGTCCGGAAGGACGGTCAGGGTTCAACCCTTGCCTTTGATTCCTACTGCGGTCTCCTACCAGTGCAAACCCTAGGAGGCAGCCAAAGAGCCCGAGACACTGGGACCCTGGCTCCCGTCCCTTCTGGTCCAGGCCCCCTGGCTCCCGTCCCTTCCAGCCCAGGCCCCTGCAGCTGTTTGGAGAGCTGGAGAGCAGTTAGGATGGGTCTGCTCCTTTTCCCATCCACACCTCCAAAGGACCAGAGAGAAGAATGACAGTGAGGGCAGCTCTAACTAGTGGAATTGTGGGCCCAGCACGATAGTGTAGTGGTTAAGGTCCTCACCTTGCACGCACCAGGATCCCATATGGTCACCAGTTCTAATCCCAGCAGCTCCACTTCCCATCCACCTCCCTGCTTGAGGCCTGGGAAAGCAGTCAAGGACAACCCAAAGCCTTGGGACCCTGCACCCGCGTGGTGGGAGACCAGGAAGAGCTCCTAGCTCCTGGCTTCGGATGGGCACAGCTCCAGCCTTTGTGGTCACTTGGGGAGTGAACCATCGGATGGAAGATCTTCCTGTCTGTCTCTCCTCCTCTCTGTATATCCGCCTTTCCAATAAAAATAACCAAATCTTTTTTTAAAAAAATTAGTGGAATTGTGTGAGCGATGTTTATTTCTATCAGGTTTATCTGTAATTTTGAATATTCTACAATATGGTTTTCTTGATTCCTCTCCCTCCTGCCTCCCTACCTCCATTTCCTGGAAGAGAGCAGGAAGGGAAAAAAAAATACTGTAATTTTCTGTACAATTTAAATCTTTAATGCCATCTTATGTGCTTAGGTTCTCATGAAGAGTCAGTCATGAAACATTTCAACGAGTCCTTCAGTAAATATTTGCTCAGTGGGTAAGTGCTAGGAAAGCAAATGAGGGAAGCTGCTGCATATTCAAGTTGTCTGGCAGAACTTGAAGGACGGAGCTGAACAAGAAACTGGGCCTGGGATGGGGTGGAGAAGAACCTGTCCTCAGGAAAGAAGGGGTGAGTAGGCACAGCCAAAGAGGTGGGGAGGCATGGAGGGGGGCCCTACCCCCCGGAGCAGAGGATGAGAATCCAACTGAAAAGGTAGGTTGGCATCAGATCGTCAAGGGCCTTGTCATCACTTGATTCACACTGTCAACGACTTAATTGATTATTTGTAATTATTTAATGCCTTGATTTAACTCCTTGTTCACCAGGAGTTCAGGGACCGGTCTTTCTGGTTTCCACGCTTCTCCTCCTGGTACTTGGAGAGTACCTAGCACCCAGTTGTCTTGCCATGCCTATCTGCAGCGGGGTGACGGGCTGGGAGAGCAGGTTGAGAAGCCTGCGGTTTGTTTTAGGGGACCAACAAGGCTCAAGGTTTGGAACACGGATGTGAGGTCACCAATTAGCACCTTTGTTGAAGAATAGAATACGTGAAGAGTGGAAGATAGTCAGGTCAGGTGCAGAGGGTGCACGCAGCCTGATGCGTGGAGAGGTGTGGGGATGTCAGATAATGCCATGGGTAATCATGACAGACGTTGCAGCCAGAGAAGAGGAGAGGATGCAAAAGGGGAGTGAGGGGAAAAGAAACTGGTGAGATTGTTAAACACCTTGAAAGCCACATGGCTAATCCTCCACCTTCAAGTGCCAGCATCCCATATGGGCAACAGTTCATGTCCTGGCAGCTCCACTTCCCATCCAGCTCCCTGCTTGTGGCCTGGGAAAGCAGTGGAGGACGCCCAAAGCTTTGGGACCCTGCCCCTGTGTGGGAGACCTGGAAGAAAACTCCTGGCTCGTGGCTTCAGATTGGCTCAACGACAGCCATTGTGGCCATTTAGAGGGTGAATCAGCAGATGGAAGAGGTTTCTCTGTAAATCTGCCTTTTCAATAAAAATAACTCTTTTTAAATAGAATTATTTATTTACTGCAGCACTCACTAGCCCAGTAAGGGAGTAGAGAGGACCTCCCAGCTGGGCCACTGCTCCTGCTGGTGAGCGTGAGGCCTGGGACTGGGAGCAGACCAGGCTGGGCAGGGCTGTAACACCTGTTGGCCTGTATGTGAACTGGGTGGGGAGAACCAGGCTGGGCTAACCTGTTGTATCCACTGGTATGAGCCAGAGTAAGTACAGGCAGGTTAGGCTTTGCCATAGCACCAGCTGGCAAGTGCTGGGACTGGGGACAGGTCCTGTCCAGCTAGACTGCAGAACCGCCTGGAGTGTGTGCCAGATCCAGGGCAGGGAGTGGATCAATTGGGGAGACTGTGGGCACCTAATGGGCTGCAACTCCCACTGGTAAGCATGAGAACGGTTACCAGAAATGCCAGGTGGGTTCTTTCCTCAGCTTATTATAGAGATAGAATGCCCAAATCTGTTGCAGACAGAAACGTTTATTTGCAAAGGCATCAGGTGAGCAGGGAAGAGAGAAAAACAGAAAGCAACTCCGGAGAGAAAGCCGGGAGGTGGGGTGCCTCTGGAAAGGGCAGGGAGAGAGACACCAAAGGTTTGAGAAGGGTCTTGGGATGTTAAGCATTCCCTGACCCCTCCTTGTTGGGCGGGGAACCTACAGGTCAGATGTTCCCCACTGGTGGTCTCTTAATCAGTTAGGAAATGGGCAGGCAATGCTGGTGCCACCCACCTGAAGGTATGGCCAAGACCTCTGCAGGCCTGGATGGTCTCAAGAACCAGGACTGGGAGCAGGCCTGGCTGGACAGGGGTGGCACCCTCTGGCACGAGTGAGGGCTGGAGGGTGGAGTCGGTTGGGTTGAGTTAGGCCTCAACATCCAATGATGTGTGTGAGAGCTGAATGGGATGTGGGACAGACCAGACTGCCACGCATGTTGGCAGGCACAGGAACCAGGGCTGGGGACTGGTCCACTGCGGGTCATTGGGAGTTGCTCTAACTGGACTTCACCTCCCCATGGTGTATGTGAGGGCTGAGCATGTGGTGGGCGGGTCAGAGCTGGGCCACAGCACCCATTGGTTGGCACAGGAAGGAGGGCAGAACAAGTGGATCAATTACCCCAGTGAAACTTGACAGCAATCTTCTGGGCAAATGGAGACTCGGAGGTGGACTAAGACAGCCATCGTCCTTGGAAGGATTTCATCATCCTTGGAGCAGCAATATCACAGCATCTCAGAACGGAACTCTCAGAACATGCTCCACATCGGGGACCCTGGGAGGACACTGGGTACTGGGGAGGCCAGCATCTCCCCTCCTCCAGATAGGAAGAAGAAAAAAAATGTGTAAACAGTGTGTGTGTGGGCGGGAGGGGCGTGGACCTTCTACACAGTAAAAAAAAAAACAATAATTATTTAAAAGGCACAGACAGAGAAATTCTACCTGCCGACTCACTCCCCAGATACCAACAATAACCAGACCTGGACTTGACCAGACCCAAGAGGTAGG